ACATAGAATAAACGTTTACAATGGGGGATCGTGAACGTTCGTGTTACTTGTTCTCGCTCATCAGGAAATAACAAAAATGACCTCGTCTTATTAATCTTCGAACCCTTCCTTCACGCATCTAACAGAATTTTTTTCCTTTTTCTATGAACAACCCGATTCGATATATCGACAGTATTAAGTAAAATATGTAAACATCAATGTCCATCCATTTTCATAAATTAAATTGTAAAACCTATTCAAATACGGATTAATTCAAAATTAATTACAAATGTCCATCGGATACGAGAGAGTACAACGCCTTCCCTCCACCCCCAAATTGAATTAACTCGTTCGACATAAAATTCACTCAAATGTTTTTTAACTCTCGTTTATTTCTCTCCGTAGTTTGATTTACAATTAACCAATATTATATCGCAAGCCATAAACATTTTATTATTAATCCTATTTCATCTTACGTGAGTGAGCGAAAGTATTGAATCACGTACATATTAAATTTGAGTAATAAAGAAGTAAATAATGCACGCGCGGTTAATGAAAAGCCGAGCAATCCACTTTTTTCTTATGCTCTATGCTTCCCTTTCACTCCTTCTCTCTCTCTCTCTCTCTCTCTCTCTCTCTCTCTCTCTCTCCCTCTTATGTTGCGTACGTGCCATAAGCTTTTATGCAAATAACAGCATACGAAACAGCCGCTGTTTTTAATATATTGCAGGCGTTAACAGGTTACTCTCTTTCCACCTTTTTTCAAAGTGCAAACTTGATAAGACGGTGGTTACCTACTTCGTACGCTGAACCGTTACTTCCGGAGAATTTTCAACTCTCCTTCTATTTTATATTAAAATCTGATCGTTGCGGTTTGGTTAACAAGAGCGTGAATTTATTTGCGCTCATAAGCGCATGAATTTCTCGTCTCTTAATCGAACTCTTGACTCGCTTAATTACAATACGGTTCGTCATTACGACACAGGTTGATTTAGTGGTAATGATTATATATAGATCGAATGAAGGATTTTTATCGCGATTCTCGCAATAGCTTCGTCGATTGATCGTTTTAATTAAAAGAGAAGACGAAGATTGAAAGAAAAAAAAAAAAAAAAAACAAGAGAAAAAGAGAGAGAAGCTATAGGGGTGGAAGAATAAAATTTCAAATTCAGGTAATAGGATGCATTGAAAAGACGAATGCGAGGAGCGAGCGACAGGTCTGTGGGGTGGTTAGTGACGATCTGGTGGAGGCTGCGGACCGAAATACACTCGCACGGCCAATTCTCACTAACACGAATCTAATTTCCAATGCATATGCAGCCAACCATCATCTCAGAAAGTGGCCGCGCTATTTCAGGCGGGCCAGCCAGTGCCATGTAGCGAATCAGGACCGTATCTCAAGTTCGATCCACCTTGTTTCTTATACTATCTTCTTTTTCTAAATTATCCACGATACTTTCCAATATAAACTGAACCGAAATATTTTCAGTCGTGATTTTAAGACTTTCCTATTCTTCCCGAGGCTCAGGTCTTATAAACACATCAGGCATATTATAAGCACATCTATAAATGTCAACGTTTTCCTTCTATTCGATCGATATCTTAAATAAGAATAAGATACTGAATGTATCGAATGTTCTCCAAAAATTATACCCAAACACTTGGGATAATTTTGAAACGATTAGATATGAAATAAGGAATAACAAAGATGATTCTAACGAAATGATTTGGTAGTTAACGAAGAGTGATGAACAAATACTATCGATAAATTCCGGAATGCAAAAGTTTATAGAAGATTATTTTTGAACCAACTATCCGCCACCTTGATACACAACCTTGCAAATCAATGTACGTCGAGCAAATCAATGTATGTAGACATTAGGTTTCTCTATAACTTAAATCTCTCAAAATTATTTTACATTTAACAGCTATGATGATCTGTATATTTGTATATATGTACGTAAAATTTACACTCAATTTTACGAACGAGAAATAACGCTGTTTGACGGACAAAGTAAATATTCTAGTTCCTCTTCCATTCCCATTTTGACGATCGTTTCGTAAAATCAAGTTGATCCAAATGAACGGCACGAAATCGTTCAAGACATATTATTCGTGGAAAAACATATCTTTCAACAAAGATCTAATCGTTTATATATATTATTAACATGAAGATTTGATAAGTGTTTTGCGATAAGTTGTCATACCAACGGAACTATCGAAAGAAATCTTTTGTTTATATTTTGTACAAAATCTAAGACCATATTTATCTAAATCTAAAACAAATTAGAAGTAGGGCAGAAAGAAATTAGCCGAGAAATAAGGAGTTAAATTAAACGTAAAAGAGTTAACAACTCGAGGATAATTAATCTGACTAACCGTTAGAGAAAAAGGAAATCGATCATGTTCTTACTCAACAATCGACGCACCTGCGACATGCTACGCAAGTTCCGCAACAAGCGAGAGAGAGAGAGAGAGAGAGGACTTCATATACAATTTTCATCTTCAGCGCTCGCTTTTGCTTCGTAACATGCACAAAATATCGTCTTTTTAGGTCGTTCATTTGAAAGTTATACGAAATTGTACGAGTGTACGAAACAATCGAGAATTTCCTTAATTCTCTTGGAAGGTTCATATTTTCTTCAACTGACGACAAAATTTTCATTATCCGAAGAAGGAATTGCTTTGCATGCTTCTTTAGAATTGAGCCAAGACGTCGAAATATATTGTCTGCTTTCAAAGTTGTTCACGAGTAGACGAGTATGTACATATATAGATACACACACACACACACACACACACACACACACATGTATATACTTAGAAACATACATACATCGAAACCGTCGACGACGGGAAACTTTTTGTACAGAGGCGTTTCCAAGAGACGAGCAAGAGTTGACCTGAATAGCGAGCACACGTATTCGCGGATAGCATGTGCTAACGTGTGTAATGTATCGTTGCTACGCGCAGCTTTCAAGCTCGCTTAGCAAGCTTTCGTATTATTTCACCTATACAGATACTCTTATAACGTCCGATCTAATCAAAGGAAATGATCCTCGAAAAAGAACGAAGAAAATTTCCTTAAATTTTCGAGTTTCCTTCTCAACGTAAATTCTCCCTATTATCTCGAAACATTTTTCAATAGTACATCGAAGTCTTTAAAATTCACATAGATATAAAAATTCGTTTATTCTTTATAAGAATAAAAATTATTGAACGATGTGGCTTAATTATCAATCTCAATAAAAAAAAATTAACAAAAAGGAATAGATAACTAGAGAGAACTTGTATAGAAATTGATAGCCACGAACTGATGGTTGCAATTTTAAGGATACGCATACATTGACATGGCTCATGAACCATGCCTGTGACCCATTTGCTTAAACGCTGATGAAATAATATTCCGTCGTTGGCCGCGTGCGATACAAGGGTGAAGGAAGCTCGAAAACAGATACACGTAAATGCATACATTTACAAGCGATGGAAACGCGGCGAAAAAGAGAAGAAGATAAAAAAGAAAAAAAAAAAGGACGAGTAAAGAGAGAATGAAAAAAAAAATAAAATAAAAAATAAAAAAAGAAAGGGAAGAGAGAAGACCGGACTGACTCGTGAAGTATCGTCGTCGTTGCGCGCGTCAAAACCGTAATGGAGCATTGTGAACGAGAAGTACTTTGTTAAAAAGCGTGTCCAAAAAATCTCTTTCGTTTGATAACGCGAATTCACAGACGACAACAAACGAGAGAAACGAGAGTTCTACTCAGAGAAGTAAAAAAGTTGAGACGCGAGAGTTTATTGTTTCACGGATGACGAATGGTATGCCAGAGACTATGGATTGTCTGTCATATTTAACGATTTTTCTAACTTTTGTGTCTTAAAACCAACGAGAATGTCGATGACGAGAATAAAAAGCTTTTGATTTTCATCACCCATCGCTACCACAATTACAAACATTCTTTCATTATGGACATTAATGTGACAGAGACATTTTAAAACAGTGACGAAAATTATCGAATATGAGCTTTTCGTATTTTGCGATGTATGTATTCGTAACGTTTAATACTGAATCGTAACCTTTTCATTTAAATCGTTATTTTAAGAAAATGAACGCTTCTTATCTCGAACTTCTTATCACGTACTTTATGATAAAAAGAAACATAATGATAAACTCGTTGAAAATATTTAATCGTTTGATCATTTTATATATATATATCAATGATATTTGAATTTTTTAATTGATCCAAAAGAATTATCATTCGTATTGGCGGTGAGAAACCCACGCGTCGTGGCTGCATTCCATCCCTGAAGAGCGTGCATAATATTACGCTCGTATGTATGTCGTATACAAAGTCATGAGTCATACGAGATATGTCGAAACGCAGTCACGTGTTGGCAAAAACAATATGCCTTATTATTGAACATAGAAAATGTCAAGAATTTCTCGTTAATGACGGCCCTCTTCCATCTTGTCTTTCTTCTCACTCTTTTCGCACTCTTCACCTCCCTACGAAACTTTTTTATTTCTTCAATTTCGCTGTATTTATTAAACGTAAAAAGATTCTATCAAATTTTTCGCAATTTCTTTTAATCCTTGAAAGAAAATTAAGATTCATAAAAGTCTGTAAGGAAAAAAAGTAGTATAAATACATTGAATATGTAAATGCAATTCCGAATTAATGCCGGATATTTGAGATCGTATTTTGATCAAGTATTCCGAGAGTGAACGTTGATTCGTGTCGCCAAGAACGCGAAGTAGGTCGACAATATATGCGAATAATTGTGTGTGCATATTGTTAAATAAGAAGGCACATTCGTCGATTTACATTGATTGAAAGTGCGAACGAAATCGATTCAATGTAACTACAGGCAGAAACTTATTCTTTACGTGCTATTAATTCGTTGTCAAACGTTTAAAGAATATTCGTTTAATAAATCGATTCCTATTGTTAAATTAATAAGAAGATATATATATATATATATATATATATGTATGCAAGACTAAGTTTTTATTTTACTAACAGGTACTTATCAAGGACAATGGCTTCGAGGAATGAGACACGGATATGGAGTAAGAAGCAGTGCACCTTTTGGTTTGGCGAGTCACTATAAACCACCGAAGCAAGTAAGAGCGTCCTTGACTTCCCTGAGAAGCGCGGATGTGGGTCCAGCGGTTGCACCAACACCTGATCCGACCGATAGGAGAGATCGTCGAGTAGACGATAGCAGAGGAGGCTTCGTATTGAAGGCCAGGAGTGACGATCCCCCAGCTCGAAGAAAGAGTTTAACGGAGAAGTCCTTGAAGAAGGGAATTCTATCGGTAATTGGACGTCATGGTTTAATCAAAAGTTTATTACCATTTAGAAAATTTATTTCTAAGAAAATATGTTTTCTCAGGGTTTGAAAATTCGAAAACAGAAGAGCACGGGTGATTTAGAGAAACGTGGAACAGGAGGAAGTATTCGAAGTAATGCTAGTTCAGCATCATGGATGTCGACTGAGAGTTCACAGAGCCAAGCATCAGCGTCCGTCCATACTGACAGTAATGCGTCTTTTGTCATCGAGGTGAGTCATTCTTACATCGATCGTATTCCGATCGAACATAAGTATATACATACATATATATATATATATAAGTACGTAAATTAGGCGCGTAGATAGTGTGCAATTGGCTTAAACATGAAACGCAAAATGTTGACCGATTTCGCAAGAAATCGACCGATGTAATTATTTGAGAAACATTACGTTCGTCTCATAAATCAAGTTTCATGATTTGTCATCTAATAAGAAAATTCAATTGGCAGGACGAACAGATGGACGCCTCTGTAACCGAGACGTATCTTGGCGAATGGAAAAACGACAAGAGAACTGGTTTCGGTATATCGGAAAGGAGCGATGGTTTGCGATATGCAGGCGAGTGGTTCAACAATCGAAAGTACGGTTACGGTGTGACGACCTTTCGGGATGGTACCAAGGAGGAAGGAAAGTACAAGAACAACGTACTGATTACCAGCCAAAAAAAGAAGCATCTATTTCTGATTAGATCTGCCAAATTTCGTGAAAGGATAGAAGCTGCCGTTAACGCGGCTCAAAGAGCGAGCAAGATAGCGCTTCAAAAAGCTGATATCGCCATCTCGAGGACAGCAACGGCCCGAGGAAAAGCCGAATCCGCGGACAACGCTGCTGATCACGCGAGAGAAGATTCCGAGTTGGCCCAACAAACGGCCAGACAGTTCGCCCCGGATTTCAGGCAGCCTGGTTTAGAGAGACTTAAAAATCGAGAAATTCCGAAATATGTGCCACCGCCGCAGGACACTGTGCCTGGTAAAAGTATACTCCATAAAAGCACGACGTTGGACCAAACTGGATCGACACCTTCGAAGACGGCAATTTCGAGTGTCGATTCGACAGCGACGATTACTACAACGACGACGACGACGACGACAGCAACAACGACAATGTCATCGACGTCGATGACAGCCAGCAACGTGATGCAATCGATCAGAAGAGCTAGCATGAAGCCGCAGAATATGATGCAGAATCAATTACCTAATCAGATATCGCCGAATCAACTTTCGAATCAGATTCCGCAAATGGTCAACACTCAAAGTTCTCTTCCAATTCAAAATCTCTATCAGACGCAATACGTTCCAACAATGCCACCAAATTCACCTCAGCAAAATCAGCCATACCCTAATAGCATACCAAATCAGTATCCTCAAAGTCCGTATCAACCGAACCAGTATCCAAATCAACCTAACACCTACAACCAGACGCCGTACCAACCTGCTACCTCACCTCAGCTGGATCCTGGATATACTGGATATCAGCAGCAACAGACACCGGCTAGATCGCAAGGATTCCAAAACATGCAACCTTATCTAAATCAACAGGTAATTTTAATCGACAAACTTTGCTTTTCCTAATGGACAACAAGCATCAAGATTAGGAATCATCTTACCGTTCCGTATTCATTCCGGGAATATCTATTACGATTTAAAGACGATAGTCTTCGTTTTTCTGATTCTGAAACATCCACGTCAACTCTCTATGTTTCTCTGTTTCTTTCTAGATCTTGTATCCGCAACCCCCGGTTATGTACGGTCCAATGACATTCGCCCAAATGAATCAATACGAAGCGCAGCTTTATGGTGTAAGCGATTTGACGAGTCCCCAATTAAACCTTTTAGATTATCATATCCAGCGACTTACGCAATTCTATTTGTCGCTTGTCAGAGGCATTGAAAAAAAATACAAAACATTTTACAACATTTTGTAAAAAAAAAAAAGGAAACACTTGATTTTACAAGTAGACATTTTTTAACGCATTACCGCGCGTTAGGCTTTGGACCTCGTAATCTTCTCGTCAATTTCGTATATTTTTTATGGCGTCCAATCTCTTCGTTCGATGCATTTTTAAATAATGTATTTTAAAACTTTTGCACTTATCTTTTTTATTAGGTAATCCTAGCTCCTCTCTGCACAACCAACGTCCGTCTCATTGGTGTAAGGTGGACAAAAAAAATTTCCTTTGATTCCTTACTTTTATAGAATTAATAATTTAACGTAATTAACACGTATTAACGATAAAATACTGGTCATCCTAGATGTATTTCAACATCTAAAAACATACTTCTTACATTCTTCCACCAAATACAAAACGATGATGGAAGTGAATGAAAAAAAAAAAAAAAAAAAAAAAAAGAAAAAAAACTAGAAAAATAGAAAAAAGAAATATTCTTCTCGATGTTAAAAATGTACCTGAAAACCTTTACACTCGATCTCGTGGGATCCTAGCTTTTCCCTTATCATCGAATTCACAGGACTCGAGTTCTATTCGTGTCGAAGCGATTTAAAACGATTCGATGTATGTTTTTCAGGCGAATCAGGTGCCGAATCAGTATGGGCCGAATCCGATGAATCAATACAATCCGCAGTCAATGTTAAATCAGCAACAACAAGAACAACCGTCGCAGCAAGCGCAATCTATGCAGCAGTATCCTGATGGAATCACAGACATTCAAAGGCCACCAAGTTCGGCGAGTATACGAAGGAACAGCAGGGTCTTAAGTCCGCAGGATAGACCGGGCACTATTGGTCAAACATTAAACGACAGGTGTAACATTTTCATTAAATCTGAAATTAATTTATCATTTATCATTGTCTTCCTTATAAAAAAGACAAAAAAGATTGTTGACCATATTTAAGGATGTATTACGAATAATTATGTTTAGTTTAATTTCGTTAGATCTTATTCGTTCGAATTCGAAGAAAAATCGTGCCTATAAAATTCAGCGAAAAGATCGGCACTCGGTATGCCCACGCGCGATCTTATAATTCTAAAATTTCTTCTTCGTAAATACACTCCTCTCATGGTTTCGAGAGAGTCAGTTCATTCGCCACGTTCAATTAACATGAGTCAAGGAACCAAAATAAATGTTTCAATAATTTTCCGTGCAATCAAGGAAAAGCCGGGGAAAAAGATATTCCTGGAAGTTAAACTATCGCTATCATATACGGTCATATACGGAAAATAAAATATTCTCCGATATTATTATTACATAACACAAAATGCTATAATTTATTGTAGGCTGGATCATTACAAGAGGCCACCTAGTCGTGATAGTTCCGTAGATCGATATGCCAGAGCGCATTCCCGATTGACAGGATCAAGACAGCCGTCTGTTGACAAAACCGTAACAAATACATCCACGGATCTAATCGACAGGTAAAAAGATCAATATCGTAAATAAAAAATTAACCTAATTAAGTAAGAAATTAATATTAAGAACTCGTATTGAATTCCATTCGAAAAAAAAGAAAAAAAAAAAAGAAGTAATTAATGGTACTAAACGATATTGTATGATGTTATATTGCATTTGTGCAAGGCAGTAAATGTTTTAAATAAATATCGATAGTTCCTTTGAAAAGGATAGATTTTTGAGTAAAATATTTTTACGAAAACTTTAAAGAAAATGATGCGTTTTAAGATCGACGAGGGCTCCCAGTGTTATTCGATCCGGCACGCCATTGAACGGCTCGGTGGTAGGAAGTGGTACGGCGACACCAACTTATGCGGCATCGACTTCCGGGCAATTTGAAGGAGCACTTTTAAAGAACCGCAACCTTGGTCAAGACATCCTCCCAAGTCCTGGGCAACCGAAACGAACCGAGAGTCTCTATGTTACGCCCGCGCGTAATTCAAACGTTTCCGGTGGCGGGGGTGGCGGAGGTGGCGGAGGTGTTGCAGGAGGCGGTGCATCGAAAGTGAGTCTCCTTCGAATCATTATTTCTTTCACGTATTTGGCACAGATAGTCGTCATCTCGTCGCTAAGAAGTCATGGCACTCTCGTGCGTCATTAACAAGTCGAAGATAATAACATATAATATTGTCGTGTTTACACTTATATTCCCATTAATATCATTGATCTTTTATCTTCGAAATATTTGTTAAAACTTTCATTTATCAATCAATTATTTTTAATTTTAATCGTGAACAAATTGTTCGACAATATTATTTGCGATTAACCTTCGTTAACGAGTTTCATTTAACATTTAACTTTCTCTCTAGATCATTAGATCTATTGGCACACACACACACACACATTTTTTTATCGACATGGTAAATTTCCTTGGCGCTACCATCATTCGGTTAATCTTTTAGAGAGTTTCTTTTTTTTTTTTTTTGGACGAATATTTGAACGTAAATAAATAAACACGTTGAATAGTAAAAATTAGATAGGAAATTACGTAGACACGCACAAGCGAACGACGTAAAAATATTCCAGAAAATATTAAAGGAACAGATTTTATACGTCGAAGAATACGTTTCACACTGTTACGATCATTTTCGGGAAGCTTTCGTAGAAACAAGGCGAGAGACGCTTTTTCAACTCGTTCAAATATAACTTCGGCGGTCTGCAGATATTAAACAAGATAACAATCGTTCCCTGATACTCTTTACCACGTTTGCTTCTCGAAAAGAAGATTATTACGCATTTATAATGAGCGATCACGAAGAAGTAAATTTTTCTTAAAAATACCAAAGTCAGATCTCGACGATCGACGTCATCGCTCCAATCTGTCATGATCGCGATGAGAAAATACATTCGATGAAGATGCACGAGATCCAGTCTTAATTCACGCGAGATTAAAATCATGAATTTAATTTTCTACAATAGAATTTTCATTAGCTACGATATATTCAATTTTTTGATAGAAGTAAACAAAGAAAAAGTATTGGGACAATTTCGATTTAGGACGATTACCTTTGATATTGAAATTTCTTATTCATTTTCGTAAAGAAACGATAAACAATTTATTTCGTTGAAGGATCGAATCATCTTTCATACCTCAAATCTTCAATCCTTTTTTCGTCGATTTCTAACACGTCATTTGTCTCTCTCTCTCTCTCTCTCTCTCTCTCTCTCTCTCTCTCTCTCTCTCTATCCATCTATCTATCTATCTTTCTCTCCCACTCTTTCTCTCTCACTCCCCTTCTCTCTTTCTCTGTCTCTTTACTCACCTTGTAATCTATTTCAAGCCCTCCCCCACTCGCTCCTTTCCGATCCCAACCCAACTTTCTCTATCTTTTCTTCTATCTGTGGATTTTGTCTGTCTCTGTGTAACCGTATGGCGTTTGGTGCTGTGTTCTGTGCATGCCATCCCAGGACGCAAGCCGGACGGTCCCCGCCTTCGCCGAAGCGTCAAAGAGCCGCGCAACCCTATGAGTATAAGTATTTATATTAATCTGTAGGTATACACAATACTACAGATATGATTTATACGAAGGCACGAAGCTGCCGACGTTTGTCGTTGTTATGCATTCTTCGAACGAATCTCGAACGATCGAAATTGAATCGTAATATCGTGATAACTATCCATCCATTTCTTACACATCTTTATTTTGAAAGCTTGTCCGTTATAATTGTAATATATATATATATACTATCGTTCACATTGAACACCATAAGCATAAAGTATACATATATTTATTGATAAAAAAAATGTGAGCTTGATTCGTTCAGTGTCTCATTGTAATCACGGTTTTGATGAAAGGCACCTTCGTTCCGTAGTTTGTCAAGGACAAAAGAAAAAGAGGAAGGAAAAACAATAATCTTGAGTTCGATAACTATATATATAAAGGATCGGCCAATAAAAGATCGATTGATCGACCAGAAGACGCTTCGAATGAAGATCTTTCTGATAATGCTTTAAATTAGATGTTTATAAAAAATTGCTTATACGGCTGTTTCTAGACCGAGGCCTTAGCTAAGAGAATTATCTCGCAATATTCTGATTAACGAGAGGTCATTATGGTGGAAAAAGAGAACGCACGTACCTGTTTGTAGTTCGTTATTAGTCATTTATCTTATAAAAGAATAGAAACATGGAGAGAAGGCAAAAAATCGCGTATTTCACGGCATGAAAGGACAATTAATTAATTTCGCCCAACGAGAGTATTTTTTCAGAATGTGTGTACGCCTTTTAATGCCTTCTTGTCCAAAAACAAACATATTTTTCTATTAAGAATAATGAGAATATCCGATTGATCTAGACGATCGACGGCTATATCACTTTCGTTGTAGGTTACGATTAAATCGCAAAAAGAAACAAAAACAAAAAGAGTACCTATGTATTTTACTCTCTACTATGAGAATACTGAGAATTGAAGTGTTTATATATACATATATATGTATGTGCTATTTAATGTGTATGTGTGTATATATATATGTATGTATGTATAAATACTGAACACTTCCTTTTGAAGAGAAAACGTAATGAAATACCCTCCAATTTATTTTTCCGCTCGAAAAAGAAAGAACGGAGAGGTCTCAGTCGAGAATAATATAATAATATTTTAGAGACTGCTGCCGAAAATATATAACAATAACAACAACAATAATAATAATAACAATAACAATAACAATAATAATAATAATAATAATAATAATAATAATAATAATAATAATAATAATAATATGAAAGATGTTAAATGAATATAAACGAGTGTCTGTATTTTATGTCTATATGAATGTAATAACGTATTAAATAGTTTTACGAAAGAAGTTAAATCGAAACATTTACAAAGTATTACAGGGCCATAATTCGTTCAATTAGTTCAACTTTATTAAGAGTAATTAATCAAGGTAGACTTCCATTTTATCATCTTGCCCGTTTATCCTTTTAAACGATAAGTTTAGTAATTTAAAGTAATAAGAGTAAAAACAAACGAAAAAAGGAAGGCATAAAAATTGCAAACATTTAAAAGTTCATTGATTACGATGATCGTAATATACTTATACACACAAAATAAACAACACGAGGAGAGAATTTCGCCGCGAACACAAATAAAAAAATGGGAGATATGTGCATACGTACAGATACTAATTCCATTATTCTTACGTCCGTTAATTAAATTAAATTAAATTAAATTAAATTAAATTAAATTAAGGAGAAAGTTCAAAGGTAAGGAGTAGTGGCGCGCGGTGTGGAGGCGGGGACCAATTTTTTAACCGTACTTTGAATTCTTTTTTCTATCTGTCTGTTTGTCTATCTGTCTCTATTTCTCTCTCTCCCACCCTCCTCTCTCTCTCTCTCTCTCTCTCTCCCTCTTTCTCTCTCTCTTTCTTTTTTACTATACTTCACTCTTCTTTCGACGTTCTGTACGTCTTTTTCTCCTGACCTTTTACATTACTATTTCGTCGTTCTTCTTGCACGAAAGAAAACCACTTCTAAGACACACGTTCGATCACTTCTCCCATCGTAAAAGCATATTCAATGACCATTGCACTTATCTTGATATCATTGTTATCGTTGAATGATTTCAATCGATAAAATGAAAAGGAGAAGACCTCAAATAAATCTCTAAACCTCCACCTCCACGCCGCTTATTTTTCCTGTTTTTTAAATCAGAGACATTATTTTTCTAACGCGTTGCTTTTATTACTATTACTATTACTATTACTATTACTATTACTACTTTTACTACTATTACTATTACTACTACTACTGCTACTGCTACTGCTACTGCTACTACTACTACTATTGCTATCATTACTGGTACTACTGATACTACTACTACTACTGTTATTATTATTTCTAATACTACAATGCGTAAAGCAACTCGATGGAATTTATGACGTGCCAACTAACTTTTTTAATAAAACAGAAGGAAAATGATAAAGTACACGAGTAATACGTTTCGACGGATTAATAATGTTGGTCCATTTAACCTGCATTTCACCCTTTTCGAGGAAAATCAAAATGTGCGAAAGATAATACAAATTGATTCTCTCATTCTTACACGAACCTTTCATTCCTTCCACCAGGTTTTCTGACACCTGCACGAAATGTTTCTGCGTTTTACTATTACATTTTAATAATCGATCATAATGTTTATCGGTATAATTGTTCGTAAGTCACGTTGAACCTTTTCAATGCATAAAGAAATAGTAATATTCGTTTAGTTCTCATAAATTTATGTTGCACTATGATATATCGAAAAATAAAATAATAGAAACCGTGCTTCGATGAATTTTTCGAAAAGTAAAAATTGGAAATATAATGGAGTGCGGTAAAAATTCAATTTACGATAGATTCAACGTGGCATATCTAACTCGTAAAACAAACACGGTCGTGCCTAAAGAATGTATGCGCATACGACGACGATTAAGAGATTAGGTACGGTTGATCTAAAGAAAAAGAAAAAAAAAAAAGAACACTCGAATATAAAACAAGAAGACAGAAGAAAAAAAAGAGAGCGCGAGAAGAGAAAAATGGAGGAAATTAAAGGAAAAAGTCTTGTAATTTTCAACGATTTTTCAATGTTTTATCTCGTCCGAGGAGTTTGCGAGTTTCCAAAACGGAAGAACTTTGGAAAAGTTTTCCATGTTGATGACGATATAAATGTACGAAGATTTACTCAAGTGCCAAAGTTTCTCTCAAAGTGTCTTCACCTTGTAAAATTAAAAAAGAAAAAACATAGATTTTTTCACTCGTGCGGGTGACAGAATATATCTGAAAGAAAGAAAAAAGAAAAATCTTTTCTTTGATTTCGATCGAAGTGATATTTTTAATCATTGCGAGCCGCAGGAAGAATCCAAAGCGAAACTTTGGACACGTCAGCTAAACATTCCAGATCAACATTTCGCGTACCAATTATAAATCGAGATGATAAATTCACGGAATCTTATTCATCATGCTCACAACGATGTTACAAAGTGTTGACTCGATGTATTGAATGTATTTATGTATACGATGTGTCAGTTGTTATTAAGTGACAGATTAAAGTATATCGATCGTACGGCGAGAATTTAATTTCATGAAACTTTGAAATCCTAACATCATTAGAAATACGAGATTGTTATCGTTTTAATCCAATCTCCGATCCAAATAAGAGAAGATAAGCCAGAAGCCTGGCTAAGAGAAGGAATAGAATCGAATCGACGATTGTTTTTTATTTGAAAAATAATAAAGCTTATATATTTCCGATCTTTGTGTAAACCTTACGCACGTGCTTTTGAATTGGAAAGCTCTGCATTGTTACGTGATCGTTGTTAGAAGGGATTGTGCCAAAATGTACTTTACGCAAGAAAGTATCATCGGTTAATCGAGCCTTGACTGCGTTCCAAGAAAGTCAAAGAACAATCGGGAAGAGATAAGTTTCTGCTCATGTTTCTCGCAATTAATGTATATCGACTATCAAATTTGTTCTCTCTTCCTTACCTCAAAGTCAAACAAAAATTTCCACAAGAAAGATATAAAACCGTATACGCGTATATTAATCTCGCGTGAGAATCGGTATCGTTCAATGAAAATATGATAGAAAGATAAACGAGCCACCGGAGAATATAATTAATAAAATAACATAGAGTAATTTATCGTAATAACTTTTTACTCTATGAATATTAATGTATATTACGTTTAGCGTGAAAATATCACGGGATTAAAGCACTGTAGATTAATTAAGCTAATTAGCACCCGCGTCGTTGCACTTTCAATGGCAACGAAATCGTAATTTACCGTTTGGTGATAAAGAGAAAGAAGAAGGGAAAAAAATGACAATAGTTTCGCAAAGTCGAATGAACGTATCTGGCCATGGAAAATACTTTAAAGAACGACTGTAAACATTTCTTCTTCTTCTTCTTCTTCTTCTTCTCGTTCTTCTTCTTATTATTTCTTATCTTAGCTCGAAAGGTACGACTTAATGAATCATGAAAATCGTTATGACTTTATTTGCGTGCCAAAAGCGTGAATCAGCCGATGCGAATTGCAGTTTCGTTTTTATATCCTTCGCAGTACCGATGGTATTTCCGATGGTATTTCCGATGGGAATCGCGACACCCGAGGAAGTTGTAAATTTTATAAAAACGCGAGTAAAGGTTGGATATTTCCGATATTCCCGGCTGATAAATAAACATCGATCCTCGAAGAAATATTTTTAATGTTCGCTGCGTTTGAACGAGCTCGAACTTGGGAATCGTTCTATTAATTAATAAGTACTATAATTGCGACTCGTATAAATGGAGATAAACGTTAACGATAAATTCTGCGTACTATAATATGGTGCGTACGAGATCGTTAAACCTAACGAAGGATCCTCGTGAGTATGAATATTTTCTGAGCAAAGCAGGAAACGTCGTATATGATGAATTTGACGAATTCGAAAGTTACCAGATAATATTCCAAATATCGAATAATAAAGAAAAGAAGAAAAAGTTATTATTCGAGGGATCAGAACTCGGGGGGGGGGGTAATAATATTTTAAAATTCGATAAAGAAAAGAAAAAGAAAAGAAAGAAGCTGGCAATCGAAGAGAAGCAAAGAAACGAAACGAACGCGTCGCGACGCGACGAAGTTATTTTGACGCAAAAATAGTGGGGCATCGCTCTATTTCGGTCCGTTGAGCCAGGGCCGATCAGTCTGCGGCCTGGCTTCCCAACCAGGAGGCCGTGGATCCGCATTTTCCAATCGTCTATTCCGCGCTACGAAAGATTCGTCGTATCTAAATGAGATAAGACAAAGAGTAGATAGACAAATTGAGTCTATCTTCGAATCGAAAAATCGAAAGTTTGATAACGAAGAGACGAGAAAACAGAGCGGATTTAGGGAGAGAGGAAAAAGAAAAATTAATCGTTCGGAAGAACCTCGAAGAAGAATCTTGGTGATGCAGTAATACAAAAAGAAATCAAAAATAAGTAAATAAATAAAAGAAAGATACAAAAGAAATAAAAGAATAAAAAGAAGAAAAGGATAGAGAGGGAAAAGTAAAAAAGAAAAGAAAGAACGTTATTTCCGTTGTGAAGCTCTCTATACCTGTGAAGCTTGATTTTGAGAACTTTGCAAAGAGAAGGGGAAAAAAAATGTTTTGGTCCGAGCCCGACGAGGAGGAGGAGGCGCTTCTTTGCAGCCCGGCTCTAATGGCCAGGAGAGCGTCCGAGTCCTGGATCGTCGCGCCCCCTGTCGAGGTACGAAAAGGATCGTATCCCTTCGTCCACCGACTCGACATTTTCTTATTATTAATCTTCATCTTTTTCTCATCTATTTTCTTTCGTTTTTGTATACTGACTAAAGTTCGCGTTTATTTCTTGAGCGAAACATCAATGGCAGCATTAAATTCACGACCAAGGAAAGAAGATAGGCATCATTGAACGATTTCAATTTTAAAGAACAATGTTTATCTTCATTTTGGTTGTTTTTTTTTTTTTTTCTTTTCTTTTTATATATAATTGAAATGAGTCATCCACTCTAGAAAGGTGAACATATTCTTGGATCGATCAACATTTTTGGACGTTCGGCGATTCTCAGTCAATAAGAGGAATCCGTTTCGAAGGTCAATGGATTGATGATTTTAGCCGGGCTCGGAGTACTCGACCTTGCACAGCCCAATGTTACGTTTATGAGGCCAACTTTGAATTCTGGAATTGTTCCAGACGACCTCTTTTTAACATCCTCAAGTGTTCTTCTTTTCTAACACGTTTAAGTGTCTTCGTTTCTAGAGATCTACCTTTTCATTCGTAACGTAAATAAACAATTAAAAAAGGATACATACATACACACACACACACACACACACACACACATATATATATATATAAAAAGCGGAAAGTAAAATGTTTTCTACGACTCTTCAATGAATAATTCTGCCAGATCGTTAGGCATAATAGTATTAAAATTATAATATTCCTGTATACGAGCTTCACCTCTCTCTCTTTTTTTTCCGTTTTTCTTTTCCTTTCCAACAGGCGATGCCGGTCGCAGCAATGACCCTTCAACGAAAAAAGTCACTGCCGGATGTGGCCCAAGGTATTCAATTAACAGCAACAACACCATTATCGAGGGAAGAAGTTAGTGTTCTAAGTAGTATGAGGAGAGAAGAAATCCGTAGGCAGATCGACGAGAGCGAAAGGCTCAGGGCCAATCCTCTTCTCTACCTGGTCAGTCCTCAGGTCAAAGTAAGTATCTTTAATTTTTCCCTTCCCTTTCTTTCCTTTTCTTTTTTGGGATCCCCAAAATATTCCCGTTTGTCAAAGGAACAGGAAAATTCCTTTCTCAAGATCTCGAGAAAATAAAATATATTTTATATATCTTTTAGAAATATTCCAAAGATTTTTTACTTCTCGGTAAAATACTTCAAATTAACAGACAGGCATAGACTTACAGTGACTCAATGACTCACGAAAACATTCAAACACTCGCTGTTACAATTATAAATATTAAAAATATGCATGTTAGACTTAATTTCTAAAAGTAATATTGCAACAAAATTATTGAGGTTGTGTATATGAAATTTAAAGCAAATTGAAAAAAATTGTCACGAAAGTATTCGAAAGGCATTAATTATATGCACTTTATTTTCTATTAATATTTAGTTGAACTATGACTTAAATAATGGTTTCGAGACGATGTTGCATATTGTGCACTAGTTTCTTAGTTTCTTGTAAGTCGGATAGAATTTCACGTCTTCAAAATCTTTTGTTTTAATATACATTTCAAAGTTATATCACAATTTTTTTATGTTTAATCGATTGCGGTTCACAAATGTTCGATGGGATTAATGTCTTTGTGGGAGTATAATAAATACGATGTATTGTACAATAACCATTCTTTTATAATTTTGGCCATATGCCTGGGATCATTGTCTTATTGCAAATAAAAAATTTTCAGCAATCCTAATTTCGTAGCATTTTCTTTTAAATTGTTTTCTAAAATATTAAAATATTTATATTTATCTAAAATGCCATCGATAGAAACAAGATTTCCTATACCGTTTACAGCTATAAACTCCCACAACGTTACGGAATCATCGCTATGTTTTACGTACATTTTTAACCTTCATTTCTGATTTGGGTTTCCTCCAAACATAATAACATTCATCAAATCCAAATATATTAAATTTACTTTTGTCAGAAAGAATAACTTTATCACGGGAAGCATTATCTTTATTTATGTACTCTTTCGGAAATTTTAAACGATTAACTTGATTCGTCTTGTTAATGAATGCTTTCTGTTTTGGAATTCTACACAACCCAAAATCATTGTTGGGTAAAATCCTGCGACATACAATTCGGTATGAATATCCTTTTTAATAGAACGTTGTTAGGAATTATTTCAGTGAGTTTTGTAGGCAAAGTATTTGGATCATTTTTTATTTCGCGTATAACAATTCTCTCTTCTCAACTAGTTCATTTCTTTGGTTAATCTACAAGGTATTTATTCGCAACTGTTTCTTCATTTTTTAATTTTTTAATAATATAATGCATTGTAGATACAAATTTTCCTAATAATTTGGCAATTTGCTTATGATTTTCAATCTTTATGCAATTTTAATATTAACTCTCCCTCGCATATCTGCGTTTCCAATTTTTTGGAAACTCAGATTTTTTGGGAACTCATTATCATTATATAAACTAACGTTATTCACAATGAAGAACGAAATTTACTACAAGATATCATTATTTCCACTAAATCTATCAATGTTTGCTGTTTCTATACAAAAATATTGTTTAAGAGCTTGATCTCTATACGTTCGAATACATTTATGACTCTGTTTCAATAAATTCTTGAAACGAATGTTTCATGAATTCTATGAACAAATATTATTCTATTTACTTCAAATTTCTTATACATAATCTCGATAGTTGCATCTTATAATAGTTGCAACTTTGAATTTAAGTCTAACATACTTAAATCTAACACCGTACATACTTATTAGAAATCATAAAACTCCAAAAGCAAAGGCATAATTCTTCTGGAATTTCTCGTTATACCAAAATCTTGGAGAAAATTAAGAAGAAGAAGAAGATTAAAATGCATCATTATGAGCATTGATTTTTATTAAAACCAAATGTTAATTCACTTTTTTGATAATTCGCAAGATGCATAACTCCAAGAGAGGCACAATAATATCGTATACCAATATATAACAAATCAATATAACCTATATCAATATATGCATAATACTTAATATTAATTATACCGACATATAATGCTTATATATATTAATACTTGTCAGTGTAAACGTATTCGTACTAAACGTCACAAAACATAAGAACGTGACAATTTAGAACATTCAAGGAGGACAAGCAAGTTTAGTTAACCGTAAAATCGACTTTGAGATATAGAAAATCGTTTCTTATCTAAATTATCACATTTCGAATAGTTTTGTAAACAAATGAAAGGTCACGAACTACTTAGAACAAAGAGAAGGAGGGAGAGAAAAAGAGAGAGAGAAAAAGATGAAAACGTTATTTTACTGAAATCGCTAACCGTGGCCAGATATAGACGGAAATGGCGTAAGAGAATGACGAGTACATAAAAACAAACATAATGAGAAATTATATATGTACATATATATATATGGATAATAAAAAATGATCATCAATTTAAACGTGTCAGTTGCGCGAAGAATGTTTTTCTAGCATTCGCTATATTTCAATCATAGAATAGGATAAAGAAACATTAAAAACGTAAAAGAAAGAGAGGGAAAAAAAAGTAGTAACAGCAATATCATACTTAAAACTCAGAGTTCTAGAATGGAAATGATGCAAGATTGTGAAAGGAAGAGTAACATTAATTCGATTTCTCGAATGTTTTATCTTTCGATTCCGAATCGGTAAAAGTAAGTATATACGTGAAAGACCTGTCGAAGGATGTAATTTGTCAATTAACGTCAGTTATTCACGTAACCTGATTCAATCTTGTTGCCAAGTCTCAAGAATAATTCTAGTATCAGATCAGGAATGAGTAGATAGGTACTTTAAATTCTTCCGAAGTCAAATCGATCGATTCTATTTTTCATAAATTTCCTAATTAATATCGAATAATCAAAAACGTTGACTTTAATGTTGACCTTGTTAATTATTTTTTGTTTCCAATAGTTCAACCTAAATTATTTATGATCGGGAAAGAACACGTTACGAAGTAAAAAAAAAAAAAAATCAAATATCAAAGTACATCCGTTCGTTAAATTCGATTGCGTTGACTACAGGATGTTTACTTCGTTCGTCGTCACTTCCAAGTGTTTTTATTAGTATAGCATTTAACGAGACTCACGTAGATCTATAGGCATATAGACTACAAGGCTATCGTCGAACTCGTTCGAGCTAGTGTAAATATAGGCTCGACCGTGCGAATTCTTTCGGGACAATGACGACCTCATTTTTATCCATGAATGTAACAATGGTAATAATAATTAATTATACATACATTTTACTCGCATAAAAAGAAAAAGAAATTGTATTGCGAGCAATATCCGAATGTTTTTTGGATAAAACAGAATAAAAAGGAAAGTAATTAAGCGACGATAAAAAAAAAAAAAAATCATTTCGTCTGGCGTAATTGAGATAGATAAAAAACCGAGCGTACTTTTGTACATATAATGTTTAAGCGGCGAGATAACTTTACGTAAAAACAATGATGTGTCACGAATCATCCACGATTTGTTTAAGGACGAAATAAATATTACAAGGCCATACGTATGCGTATGCGTATACATATACGTTTACGTTTATTACGTTTATCTTCGCGTTCGTTGACCCTCCTCCAATATTCTGCATTAACGCAAAGTACCGAACCATTTCATTAAATAACGTTGCTTTACATGTACTTATATATATATATATATTACACGTTGCGTCTGAAAAGCAATGAGTCATAAAGAGTGTCGTAGTTGGTGGAAGGAATATCCTTGCCATATCGAAACCAAGGCCTGCTTATGCCTCTTTGTTTATCCAGATATAATAATGAGCTGTTCGTATAGAAACGTTAGAAACATTACTCCCGATATTCAGAGAATAGAATTCATATAACAATATCATATCGCATCATATAATTTCATTAATATTATTAATAATAACGCCGAGGAAATTTTGATTTCGATAATCCAAATGATAATGAAATAGTTAAAAATAAAAAAGAAACTTACGAGATGATCAATCAAATTCATTTGACATTATACATTTTGCAGGACTGGTTCTCCCGGCAACAGCTGGTAATGCTGGTGCTCTTCATCAACATATCCTTAGCCCTGATGTTCTTCAAGTTGCTGACGTAGCAGCCAGCCAATGATCGGGTTCACGGACTCGTGGTAGACGTGACCTGAGACCTCAGGGTGTCTCGAGACGCCCTGGGTCGTCAAACGTGGCATAAATTTCTCGAGAGAAAGGAAATATCAAGAAAGGATGGTAAGGTATGATGCCACACACCTGACCGTTGAAAACGGCTTTTTCGAACGACCGAGAAAGAGAAACGGAAAGACAGAAGGGAGAGGGAGAGAGAGAGAGAGAGAGAGAGAGAAGAAGAGAAAGGGAACGAGGAAGGAGAATCCCATATTCGTGTCCTTGAAGAGGAACGATTTTGTGAAAAAGTTCCATTGTGGGACCTGCTTCAAACGGAGAAAGGAAGGAAAAACACAAAAAAAAGAAATATAAACAACAAGTTAATGGATGATTTTGCGGTGTATAAGATTGTCGTCTAGATGGTTAAAAAAAGAATAAAATATGAAAAAAGAGAAAAAAAAATTTTACAGAAACGAAGATAAATAACAATAAGAGAAACAATTTCGGGATTATTATTTTTAAACCCGATGGAAATTTTGAAGACGAGGTCCAGATTTCAAGCGAAACATTGATTCAATATATACATATACATATATATATACATATATATATATATATATATATATATATGTATGTATAAAAAAAAGAAAAAATGGTGAAAGGAGAAATAATAGAGAGAAAAAAAAGTATATTATAATTTAACAGGCGCGTATCACGAGTAAAAGAAAATAATCGATTTGATTTAGAAAATGGGTCGTCGACGACCCTTTATCATACCTATTTTTACACAGATATTTTAATAAGACTACTACTACAATTACTTAATATTTACTACAACTACTACTTCTAATTGTAAGAGTAGCTCGAGTCTTGTTTATAGTTAAGCCGAATTAACGCGGCCGAATGATTATGCGCACACGAATTCCTCTTTCTTTAAATTAATTATTATATATACAGCGTCGTCTTTTCTTTTTTGTTTTCCTTATCAAACGATCGACTTGAAGGCGAGAATTATTGGCTAGAATTAAATCTCGATACGATCTTCTGTATGTATGTATGTATGCGTACGTATCAATTTTGAAACATACAATGAATCGATATGAATACATATGAATGAACGATAGAATTCATTTTAAGGAAGAACGAAATAGACGTTCCTATATTTAGCAAAAAAAAAAAAAAAGAAAAAACAACAAAAAAATTGTTTCATCGATCGATGAAAAAAAAAGGAAAAAAAAAACAACAACAACAAAAGAAAAGAAAAGAGAATGAAATTATGGCAGTGATTTTGGAAATTAGCAGAAAAGATTTTATCGAATAAGAAGAATTTTGTCGGGTACATGGAATTAAATTTTGCAGAGTAATTTTTATGAGGGATAAAGGAAAGGATTATTATTATTATCACTACTATTATCAAGAGCGAGGTCTAACAATGAAAAATATTTTTACAGCAAAATGTTCGGAGTTTTTGAGATAAACGAAGACGATCGAACTGTGAAGAGCTTTCAAAAGGCGTCATATCTTTTTTAAAAAAGGACGTAAATACGAACATGTTTTTTCTATCGCGTAGCTTTGCTAGATAAACGGTCGGTCGAATACGACACGATTGGAGAATGTGTAATTGGAGGATATATAATAGATAATTTAGCGAGACGCGTTAATTTAGAAATTTTTTGTAAAAATAGAAAAAGAAGAGAACGAAGAAGAGAACACACGCTCCGAATCGTCACGAGCTATTTGTAACTTTTTTCGTGGCGTCGAGCTAATTCTTAATGGATTGATCTACGGCTCGAATGCATTAATAAGATTCGTGGACGTAGCTTGGGTATATAGAAGCGATGCTGATTTCGCGAAGCGTTCGCATAATTTGTGCCGTTAAATCGTTGGTGAAACTGGTGAAAGAAGAAGAAAAAAAAAAGCAAGAGAAAAGATGAAAAGAAAGAGAGAAAGAGAAATATTATTCAGCTTCTTTTTCCTGATAAAACACACAATTATAGACCGGTGCGATTGTCCAACGTAAATTGAACGTATGTAAATCTTTTCAAAACGCGAAACTTCCTAGGCGAAATAGCGTTAAAAATATAAATAGAATTTGTAGCTCGACGATACGCGTATCTGATTATTTACATCTCAGACGGAACGAGAAACGAGAGGAATATGAAAAAGAAAAAGAGAGAAAAAGAAATGTTATTAATTGCTAAGCTGATAGATAGTTGAGCTCAGGTAGGTTTCGTGATTAATATCTCATAGACATGTCTGGCGGATATTTAAATAGTCAAATTCAAAATAGGATTAATTTGTTATCGTGCGGAGCGTTTGAGAATTGTACTTGAGTATTCAAGTCGAATTGATGATCTCGATAGAAAAAGAAAAAAGAAAGAAAAAAATAAAGAAAGAGAAATGAAAGAAGAATTATCGAGTTCTCTCTATATTAAAGAATAAAAATAAAAATAATTTACGCACCGTAATTTTTTGTAATCAATGATAAATATACTCGAGTTACTTCAAAAGATGCTCCATGCTCTCACAGTGATATTATATAAGAGAAAATGAAGGACAGTAATGTTGTCTCTCTTTTGTACGACATTCGAAATTATTCGAAAATGTCGATTACGGAAATTCCTCCTTCCCGTTCTCGAGTGTTTGCATTTTTCCAGCCTCGAGCATAGCTGAAATATTTAAAGATACATTTGTAAATAAAAACGAAGGAAGGAAAAAAAATAAAACGTATACCGTATCCGTTCAATCGTGCTCGTACTTCTATCGATCTATCGATCTTTCCACGAAGTGTCTTAAGGAAAATCTTTGTTGGAGCCTTCGACGAATCTAACGAGCATCCTATATGCATAGAAAGAAGAATTTAATATGTGCTAATATGTTGATAAGATCTACATTGGACGACACACAATACATTTTTGTCGACTTTCTTAAAAAAAGAGGAAACACAAAATGAAGAAACATAAGAGAGAAAGAGAAAGAGAGAGAGAGAGAGAACGTGAGAGAAAATAAACAATGCTGAACATATAACAATACAAAAAATGAATAGATATTCGATAGTAATCTCAAGATTAGTATAATTTCGCGAGAATTATCTCGTTTTACCAAGACGAGCACGTAAAACGGAACGTTTTGGAGTTAAGGGAATTTCAATTCGTCAAACATAATAGAATATTTTCGATGGTATAGCTTTTAATGTAAGCGCTAATGAAGTTGTCATTTTTTAAATGAAAAAAAAAAAAAAGATATAGATGAGAATGAGGAATAAGAAAGGAAAAAAGGAAACATGAAAAAAACAAAATCTTGTTTTTCTTCTTTCCCGAATGCGTCGAGCTCAAATGACTCTTCGAATTTGTTAATCTAACAATAAAAAAAAAAACAAAAAAAAAAACAAAAAAAGAAAAAAAATGTATCTGGGAACACGAGTATTGATAGGGATGCTGAAAGAAAAATAGAAAAAGGGAGTTAACACATGTGCGTGTGTATGTTTTTGAAAATAAGATTACTTAATGAAAGGCGTGTGTATCGATAATTGGAATACGATTTGAAGGATTTTCTGTTTTTCCTTACAAGCCGCATTCATGCATACACACATATACATATTCGTAAATATATATATATATGTGTATATAAATTTACGTACACACCTACATACTAGCGCAAACATCACTCACTTGTGCCGAATCTTGTATTATGACATATATATATATATATATATATATATATATATATATATATATATAGCTAATAATACCAGAAACAACAGCTATACAATTTTTATCAATGAGAATGCGTATGATGCGTGCATATAGCGTGTGTGTGTGTGAGAGAGAGCGAAAGAGAGAGAGAGAGAGAGAGAGAGAGAGAACAAAGAAACCAGAACCATTGTAGTCGTTATATCGTTACTCAGTTTCGTTACAAAAGAGCCATATCACGAATCAAATGAAATTTTACTATTGTATGTACATGTATAGGTTTATCTCGATTGAATATGAAGAAAATTGATTTGGCTATTTACTTGCTATATCAAATCTTTATATATATATCTATATATATCTATATATATATATCTATTTATATATATATATGTATATATATATATAATTATATTTATATAAAATATAATATATATACATACACAGACACACATTAAAAGCATATGTATATTTTACTTGTTATGACTCTGACTATTATCGCAGTTAGTATATCTCGTTATTATTGTATATTACCATTATTACGATTAATTATTACCATTATTATTGATTATTATGATTATTAATTACCACTATCACCAACAAGGTCATTATCATCATTATCGTGTAAAAGGCGACGGTGGCGAGTATAATTAAAAAGAAAATTTTGGTACTTTGAAATGAAGTAAAAAAAGAGATAGAAGAAAAAAATGACAAATAAACAAATTGATAATTGAGAAAAAAAAAAGAAACAAAACGGGAATAAAAATAACGAAACATAAAACGCGAATAGGACCGAATGGTCCACTGACAATTGTTGATTTGCAAGAGCAGTGATTCAATAAACTTGTATCATGACTGATCCGTTGCGTTCGCTCATTGATCCGTGCACGATCAAGACGAAAGGAAAAAAATCAAGGTTGAAAGATAAAGTCTCGCGTTTCGCATGACGAAACGTAGACTTAATTGCAACAGCTTTGATTAGATGCGCGCGCGCATTAACAAACACCGCTTAAGTTTCGAACAGAGGAAATCACAATTGAATCGATTTCCAAAGGCGTTTGTTTCGTTTCTAATTTCCTTTTCGTCTTAAACGTAACACGTTTACTCGTAATTATAAATGTGTAACAAGAAACTTGCTACAGGAGGATGTACTTGACAAAAAAAGAAAAAAAAAAAGAAAACGAATTAATGAAACGTAACAAATAGAGAGGAAATAAAAGAGATATCTTTTTTGTTTTATACAATCAATTTCTTTACACTTTGCGTCACTCTTGACTACAAAAAAATTCATTATTTAAAATGATTCGGTCTACGTCTATTAAAAGTGAACAGTGTGATATAAAATCATAAACAAAAATGACTAAATTAAACAACAATAAATTTAACGAAACAATATTGAATAAGATTTTCAATTGATTTGCACATATTTCAAAACATTTGATTCGATGAATGAATATGATAATTAACAGCATTTAAGTATAAAAAAAAAAATTAATTTTCAACCAGATGTCTTTTGTCAGCTCTATGCTTTTTCACATTTGACGTCTACGCGTATATGTATTTATATACGTATAAATGTATGTACACATTAATGATCAAATGTTTATTATCGACAGCTTAAAATCTCGAAGAAACGCGTAAGTATTGCGTTATCTGAAAGTCACTCGCGGATAAAAAAGAAAAAAAGGGAATGGAGAGAGAGAGAGAGAAAGAGAGAGAGAGAGAGAGAGAGAGAGAGAAGAGAAAGAATGATGAAAAATACCTCGAAAGCTATTATCTTTTAATCGCTACAATATGTTGCACGACGAGAGATAATGCTATATGATGAAAGGAAAAATATATTCTAATTTTAGTCGATGAGTATAATGCTTGAGGACAAACGGTGACATTAATTCGTTATTGGCGAGGTGCAATAATTATAACAGTGCACGTAGATAGCTAGTCTTTCAAAAGAAGAATAAAAGAGAGAGAGAGAGAGAGAGAGAGAGAGAGAGGAGAGGAGAGGAAGGGAGGGAGATCAAGCAAGTAATTCAACATCTGCACGTTATCGGAAACTCCTTTGATTTATTATCGTTGAAAATCGTTGTCTACTGTACTCCAAAGATTTCTTATTTTTTCACAGAGTTTTCACATTATTTACCATGCCATTTATACCTACACCCATATTTTCCATTTAAAAATAAAATCTCTTGTATTATTAATCTTGTTCATTTGTCAAAGGTTTGTCAAAACAACGAGAAAATTCTCTTTATTTATATTAAAAGAAAAGAAAAAGAAGGAAGTAGTCACGAGCTCGTTACGATTATAATTTACTAAATGGAAACGTAATAATATCATAGAACATAGAAGAAGAGTTTTCTCTGGTCTTACGTATCCCGGTAAGTCTGCTCTATTCTCAGATCCGTCTTTCGATCCAAAAATACACACACATACCCACGAACATATTGAATATATAAACTCTTCTCTAGGCCTTCTATTTCTCTTCTGTGAGATCGACATTCAGCAATTCGTAATAGTATGCTTTTCCTTGAGAATGATTCGTTGATTAACGACCACATGCTTTATCTAATTTCTTTTTTTTTTTATTTCCATGTTTCTCAATTACTTAACTTTATCGCGTAACATACACTTCATCTTGACAGATAAACGAATAGGCTACAGGTATATATATATATATATATATACAGATATGTATGTATTTGGGAGTTCTTTTAAACGTCTCTCAAATTTTTAAGGTCGAACATCACGACGACGAATAGTTCCTCCTCTTATCACGGTACACATCGATTGACAAGATTCATCGTCTGTCACACTGTCTGTTTTATCTCGTCAAAAGTCATGACAAAGAAAATCACGTTTCAAAGCCGAATGTCAAGGACGCCTTTGAACATGCAGGGTCAGAGATAGAGAAAGAGAAAGATAGCGAGATAAAAAGTAAAATTTAATCATATCTTCTACGATAAAATTGATTCTAATGTCAGGTTCAAATCGAGTTTAGTCACGATCAAAAGAAAGATCGTTTAAAGTTGATTACATTAGCCTTTATCAAATTTCATTCGTAAACGTAAAATTATTGTTATATCTGGAGAATTATTCCATAATAAAAAAAAAAAAAAAAAAAAAAAAAAAAGAAAATAATAATAACAGTAATAACAATAATAAAAACATGTTGCGTGTAACGCGGTGCAATTTATTATCGGTATTATTTATCCGCCTGCAATAAATTTACTACCATGGAAATCATCCTTAGGATGTCGTCGAAATTATATAAAAAAGAATGATAAAAGGAACGGCCGATAACCCAAGTTCTTCTGAATGTGTGTGTCTGTGTGTGTGTATATGAGTGTATGTATGTATGTACCGTAAGTATATACGTATGTATGCGAACGCGAGCGTGTATAGAACGTCGATTCCTAATGCCTTTACCACATAGGCGTAAGGGGAGAATGTAAATAACGGATCGCGAAATCGAACTGTTAGATATTTCATGTCTCGATTTCACGATATATCGACTTTGGAATTATTTAAACGTGACGGTTTTATATTCATTGTGGTGAGATTGCTGGAAAGCTAACCGTTAGACGTTTTCGAACCTAACGGAATTAAGGAGTATATCGTTTCGGAGAGAGGATTATATCATAAAAATCGCAAAATTTTAGAATGGATCTAATCCAAAAAGAGATGAAAAAATTTTGTTGTAATAGTTTAAATGAAAAAATGAATGTTTAATTAACATACATACTTGTACAACATTTTACTTCTTCAACAAAGAAGAATAAATGTGTAAGTACTGAATGAACTATTCAATCGAGTATTGGATTTTAAAAATTAACAAAATAAAAATTAATTTCAATAAAAATTAATCTGCTCGATTAAGTCTTATCCATAGATATTATTTGAATACATATTAATCGTAATAATATATTAAAAAAGGATCAAGTAACTATCTTAGAAAGATCGCGTAATATCGATCATTAAAAAAAGATAATATTGTGCAAATAATGCAAATACAGAAAAAGTATGGATTGTGGTTTGGAAGAGAGAAAAGAAAAAGGAAAAGAAAAGAGAAAAAAGTAGAAAAAAGAAAAAAGCATAAAATCGTTTTAACGACTGGAAGGCAGTCTTGTTCGATCAATTAAGGCGTTACGCCATTGGTCTCTGTTGTACCGTACTGAACTATACATATTACTACACGAGAGGCACGCACAACGTGCACGTGCGTGAGCTGACCTCGCTTTGTCCACGCACCTCCCGCATGTTCCTTGAGCGAATCGCGTATTGCACACAGTTCAGAGTGTCGAGAGGGAGAGACGAAGAAAAGTGAGATAGAGATAGAGAGACCTTCGTTGAGATATATACATACGTAAGTATATCAAACAGATATACATTCTGAGTTCCACGTGCCCGCGAACCTCGCTTTCGTTTCTATCATGACGTAGAAAACGCTCTCTCTTCTCTCTAATTCATGGCCTCACTATTACTATCTCTCTCTCTCTCTCTCTCTCTCTCTCTCTCCTCCTCTATTTCTTTCTCTCTTTATCTCTTATATCGAATTTAATCGTATTCGATCGTGCTCGAGTGACTCGTGTGCAAAAAAAAAACGTAGAAAATCCTACATGTTCGCGTGCATTTCTCTTATATCGGTCCGATCGATTCTTTCATGAAAGAAGAAATAAAAATATCCCTTTAACAAATGCTAGAAGCTCCCTCAATGTTCTAATGCTACTAACTCGACGATTCATGAAGCCTAATGTTATCGTAATTTTCTTTTTAAGAGGCTTGTATATCCGTCTCGTATAATCTCATTATTCTTTATCTCTTTACGTATATACACGTAAGATTATTCCAATCTGTTGTGTTATCGTTTCAATTGGATATCGATCCTAGGGATAAATAATTGAAATTTTTAATTAAAATGATTTGTATATTTTTTTCTTCCTTTCATCATATACATATATATATATATATATATCTTTGTTGTATATAAATGTATATCTAAGCGATTTAGTTGCGTTGATGTTATAACATATATGGAT